TGATTCCTCGCCTTCTAGGAATTCGCTGCTGGTGTGGCCTTGGGCGTACAGTCAATGTTTGGACATGCAGTAGGCGGAGCAGCTGGTGCCGTTGGAAGAATAACCGGAACTGTTGGAAAAGGAGTGGCTGCACTCACGTTTGACACAGAATATCAAAGAAAGCGACAGGTTACCTCAGCCGAATTGTTTTTTTATGTTTCGCTGGAAAAGTTAAGTGATATCAGGAAGATCTCAATAGACGACCACAAACGTTTGGCGAAGGAATGGCAAGAGGAGTCAAAGGCCTTGGAATGGGAGTTGTTGAAGGCATCACAGGTGTGGTCACGAAACCCATTGAAGGCGCCAAACAAGAAGGTGGTCTGGGCTTTATGAAGGGCGTTGGAAAGGTTGGATGTCATTTTGGTGTGTGGCAAGCATATTGTACGGGAGAATTTAGGGGCTGATTGGTGTGGTTACGCGACCAGTTTCTGGTGTAGTCGACTTTGCCAGCAGTACTATGCACTCAGTACGCACTGTAGCCGGAGCCGGGAAGGAAGCTGGAGCGTTAAGACCACCGCGAGTTATACGACCAGACCATATCATAAGACCCTATAGCCAACATGAGGCTCTAGGATTTAAAGTCTTTAATGTAAGTTAACACCTAAGATCATTGGGGCGCGAGTTCATCATGTTTTCTCTATAAAGTACAGTTTTATCGTGTGTGCTTCTAGGATACTGATCGTGGCGAGTTAGCCGAAACAGATGAATTTATAACGTATGCCCCCATAACCGACAGGATCGTTCTTCTGGTTACAAATGCACAATTGGTAAGTTTTTGAAACCTGAACAAAGCGTGAGGCTCTAGTCGTTGGGCACTAATCTGTTTGTTCGTAAGCTATGAGTTGATAGCAGGAACCAGGGAATAGTTATTTCATTTGATGTTTTATTAAAGTATGGTCAGACCAACTAGATTAGAAAATATTTAGTGTTAAAAGGTTAAAGTTAATAAAGTTATTGAGAAAAAATCTTTCTATTCTCTTGTGATCAAATCCATTTGTGACCTTTGCAGGTGCTATCAAAGCGCACAGACGTGATGGGTACATGGTCTACCGATTGGAAAACTGACTACGACAAGATCAAAGAACCTGTGTTTGTGGAAAACGGAATCAAGATTATCCTGAAGGTAAGTGTTTAAATTCTTGGTAAACGGCTACTGTAAATTTCTCTCAATAACTTTTTTTGACCATTCATCTTCTTCCGCCATAATTTTGCGATTAGTTATCCGTTTTCAGGAGAAGAAGCGTGGCTTTTTGGGCATTGGTTCAACAGAAGGGAAGATTATAACGTTTGACAATGCTGAAGTGAGTTACATAAGAAACATTTCGTATACTGTAAACCTCGCTTTTTAGCCCACGAGAATCCACTAAAAATTCTAAGGAAACGCTTTTTTTCGTTTTTTTTTTTAAATTAGGATTTCAATTTTCAGGCGATCCAACAAAAAGTGCTGGCAGCATACAAAGCGGCTACTCAACTTCCTGGCTAAACACAGTGATGATTAGAATTCTTTCTAATTCATCTGGAACTTATTTTTTCGCTGCTTGTTCTGTTTCTTATTCCTTTCAAATCTGAAGTGGGATACAGGTTTTGGTATGAATCCATTTTATTATGCCATTTAGCAACTCTTGTCGAATGCTTGCTGTTGAGATTTTTATGTGCACTGTTGCCGGTTGAAATATTCTCTGCTTTCTTTGTATGTACATCTTCACGAAGCGTCCTACCTGAATTTGTTGTACCTGTTTTGTTGTGCGATAAGCTTCGTTTTTCTCGCAACTAGAAAGAAGCCACGCTTTTTTTGTGATTTTTGATTTTTTACTTCTTTTTAGTCGCTTCAAAATTCCAATCGAATTATAATAAGCATATTTGTTTTGCATCTGTTTTGAACGACCCTTGGTAGGCACATTCTATTGCTGACGCTCCTACAAGGTTTTATCTGCCGTTTCTATTGTACAGGGATAGTAATCTTAATAAAA